GAGTGGGGGATGACGACTTCATGTCCCCCATATGAGAACCCAAAGAGTCTGAGTTATTTTCCTAATAGTTTGGGGCCTTCTTTATTTCCAAGAGTTCTTGCTCTGCCTCCCACATGGCTCCTTGGCCAAGTAAGAGGAAATCATAGAGTCTCAGTCCGGAAGAGGCCTCACAGGCCTGAGCCTACTCTCATTTTTGGATGTACAGACTGAAGCTGCAAACTCCCAGCCTCTCAACTGGGCCTCACATGATGAACATCCTGGCTGCGAGGCTCCACACCAGGTAATGGGTGACCCTCCACCCTGGGACTGCTGCTGCCTGCCAACTGAACAACACAGAGACTAGAAAGAAGCCAGGGCCACAGAGGCCCTGTCACTGTCTTCCTTGGCCTCTCTTTTCTTATCCTGCAGTCCAAGGGTCTTCCCAGACCCCCTCATGGCTGGCTGATAGGGAGCAGAAAGCAGCCAGTCTGACACAGTGACCCAGCCCAGGGTGGATGCCCCACCCTGCCTGCAGCTTTTCCATGTGAAAGGTGTTTAATTATTTCTGACAGAGTTCAGCCTCCACATCTGTTCTTGAGCAGGGAGGATCTGTTTAGGTTATCCATCACTGTGACAGGTTCAACTTTTTTGGAAGTGCATTTTTCTATCATAATGGGGCCAGGATGGGGGTGGCAGATCAGCAGTGACATGCGACCCAGACAAAGACCCCCCTGAGGCTTCATGTACTATGCAGCGACAGCAGTCTGACCTGGCCCTGGCATGCCTTCTGAGCACAGCCTCTGCTTGGTGGCAGGGATACAGCAGTGCTGGAGCATCTGTGTGAGGCTTTCATTGTGTCTGAGAAGCTTTGAAAATATTTGGTCACTCTGGGCTGGCTATCCATTCATTCTTCCATTCATTCCAGGGGTGACTCACCACCTCCTCTGTGACACCCTGCTTAGCTCTGAGGACATGGCTAGGGCCTTGAAGCCTGGTTCTTGTGGACTTACACATTATTGAGGAAGATGAAAGACTGTGTAGTTAATTACCTGACTGCAAAGTTGCTAAGTCCTTCAAAGGGGAAAGCTTCTCCAAGGCCTGAGGCACCCCTTGAAGGAGTCTCAGGAACCCCAAGATTAAGGCAGCTCTATCCTCAGCATCCACACTGGTGCACTGACACATACAAATTGTACTTCCAGCACTGAGCATGTGCTGCAGGCTCAGTTAAGATAACAGCAGCTCTCAGAGGTCGGAGGCTCTCTAATGTCTGATAATGTAGCTGAGAAGTCCTGCTCAAAGAACCTGGCACACACACTGTGTTCCAGGGCCCATGTAGTGGATGACTGGGCACCAACTTGCAGGATCCCAGGGGTATCCTTGGAAGACACAGGAAAGACCTGGGGCATGGCCCTGCCCCTCTTTCTCAAGTGGTTAGTGTGTTACCAGCATGGGCAACAAAAGCACTATGCAAGGTTCCAGGCTAGCCACTCCAGGGAGGCTGAAAAAGCTCTGGACCCTCTTCACCTGCAAGGCAGGGTTGGATGTTTGTCCTGAGGATAAAATGACATTCTCTACACCACATTAGTCACAGATGATGCCTGCCACCAGAAAGAGTTGTCACTGCTGGGTAACTGTGTCTAACAGTACCTCAGATGTCCTAATGGGTAGCAAAACTTCCCAGACCCTGAGACAAGACCCCTCTCTTCCAAACAGAAGTACTGACTCATTTCTAAACACAAGCTTCTATCAGGGCCAGCTACCGTAAAAATAGAGGCCACCTGGAAGGCATCTTGTGCCCATGGGAGCCGGGGACCCTGGTGCACCTCTGGCAATGTCACCGAGATGCCTGCATGCACTTGGTCACTGGCATGATAGAAAAGAGGGCCAAGGAGGAAATGAGAAGAGGGAGGGGCCTCAGGAGAGGCAGTGACCAACTGAAGGCAAGTGGAAAGATCTGTGTGGGACAGAGAGATGGAGAAACCGGAGGGAGGTTTTGCTGTTGAGACTCCTTGCTGACAGGTGCTAAAAGGTGGCAGTGTGCTGGTGACTCCCGCCACCTCCTGATCAGTGTTCGGTCATGTTCTCTCTGTGACATTTGCTGTGAGCCCAGCAGAGGCCTGGGCTGATGGGCAGCAGGGCACATGGTCACTGACATCTGCCGATGGAGGCCACTTGAGCAAGACACAAGAGGCCACATCCATCGTGGCAGAGCCGCTTTTCCGAGGAAGCTCAGCAGCTTGTTCAAGTGCATTAGGCTCAGGAAGGCAGCGGTCCTGTCACTGTCTAACTCACAGTTTCGGGCAGCACAGCCGGGCCGGATGCCTGGGAATATTGCTGTTGCAGCTGTCTTGATAGGGCTAGGGGTGTCTCTCATGACCTTCAAGAAAGACTCCTTCTGCCTGGGTTGGCTACACACAGCCTCTACAGCCTCTTTCTTGTCCTAGACCCAGCATTTCCAGCCCTCACATTTCCCTTAGTCTGTACAATGCTACCCCACCCTACCCCCACATTGTCCTTGTCCTGCTAAAAATTGCTGAACATGACTCCCTGGGTGTCACAGGGCCACATGGTGAAAGAACACGGTCTGCTCTAAAGCCAGAGCGCAGCCTGGCCCCTGTATCCCAACTCCACTTTATTCAGATGCCCACTTAGGGGGCGGAGCCTAAAGTCATTTCCTCCTCTCAGCTGGTACCACCATTCATTCAGGTAGATTAGCAGTGAGGGCACAAGCTTGTTTCCCATCTGGGTGCATCTTCCCCATACAAGATACATTAAGACTGGTCACTAGAGTGATGCTCTCTACACAGACAGCCTCTGCTTCCAGGTAGCCAGCCATCCCAACTCTGTGCTGAGGTGACCTAAGCTCTCCCAAGGCTCTGCCTCTTCCCAGCATCTCCATGTTTCCCATCTGTAAACCAGGTCAATATCAGCAGCTTGCCCATGGGTACTTATCATGAGTCTTAGCCAAGGGCTGATGGGATGGCTCAGTCGGTAAATCACTTGCTGCACAATTATGAGGACCAGAGTTCAGATCCCCAGAAGTCACATGACATCAGCTGCCACAGCCTGCCTCTGCAATCCCAGCATACCGATAGTGAGATTGGAAGTAGAGACAGAAAAATGCCCAGAAGTTTGGGCCAGCTAGCCTTCAAGAACAAACACGAGAGTCCACCTGGATTCAGGTAAAAGACAGGAGTGACACCCAAAGTTGTTCCCATCTGTGCTCACATACGTATGCACATGTGCACACTACCACCCCTCTCCAACCACACATTGCACAAATTTAAAAAAATTAGAATTTCTGATGAACTAACTGGACTCAGAACCTGGATTGAGGGAAAGTTCCTAGATGTCACCTACCACCTGCTGCAGTGTCCTGAGCATTGCAGAACTCTGACACAGGTGGGCCGGCATCAGCCAGCCCCAGCTTTGGTGCAGAAAGGTGGATGAAGGGGCCACTGACCTTCTTGAAGTGAGGCATGTGCCAGAGAGCATCCAGCTTCACGGGAGGCTTGTACTTCCTCAGCTGACTGCTCCTCGTCTCATACAGTTTCCCCAGGATCACCTGCAGGCCAAAACGCAGTGCTGAGATGCTCGCCCTGCTACCTGAAGGCTTTAGAATCACCATGGAAACAAACCCTTTGAGCATGTCTGTAGAGTAGTTTCTAGACAGGGCTAAGTGAGAAGGGAAGACAAAATGTGAGCATGTCTATCGCACAGCCTGGGATCCTGGACCAATGGAAAAAGGAAGAGAACTGAGCAGAGACATCCATTCTCTCCCTGCTCCCTGATTGATAGAATGTAACTCCTACCTCCATGCCTTCTCTGCTATGACGAACCTATCTTCAAACAGTGAGCCAAAAGAAGCCCCTCCCTCTTTAAGTCCTTTCGTCATGCTTGTCATAGCAGCAATACAGCTAACACACCAGGGTAGTGACCACAGGGCCCTGGGGCAGGGGCTGGGATTGTGGACCAACAGTCTTGAGGGTCCCTTCCCTCCAGCCTCCTATCTTTCTCCTAGGCAACTTCACAGCACTGACCCCTGGCCCTACCCACGTGTACAGTTGCTTTGTGTACTGGCTGGCTTTGTGTATTGACACAAGCTGGAGTCATCAGAGAGGAAGGAGCTTCAGTTGAGGAAATGCCTCCATGAAATCCAACTGTAAGACATCTTCTCAATTAGTGATCAGTGGGAGAGGGCCCAGCTCATTTTGGGTGGTGCCATCCCTAGGCTGGTATACTCTTTAATTTAAGTATGAGAGCCTTATCTGATCACATTCTAACTCCCAAATAATTGACACAAAAACCTATTAAAGTTTATAAACAAGTTTTAAGCCTAGGCTGGGCAGGTTCTAAGCTATTCTGACCCTCTAAGGCTGTCTACTTCCCTGCCACAGGTCCTTTACCTTCAATCTGAGTCTTGCCCTGGCTCACTCTGGTCCATGTGTATCCTCATGTCTGCTCTCTCATTGCAAACACATGGCAAATCCTCTCCACATGGCCTCTCTACCTTCTCTCCTCATGGTTCTTCTCTTATTTCTCTCTCTACCTGGGCCCCTGGGCTGGATTCGAAGTCCAGCCTTCTTATCTCCTCTGTCCAGCCATAGGCTCATCAGTTCTTTAACCAGAGATAATTGGGGACCATTCTGTACACAACATTGATACAGGAAATGGTTCAATGTTTCATGACAATGCTAAAATCCCGACTGTAACCAGATCTCTGGGCACAAAAATCAGCAACTGAATATACAGTATACAAGACCCACCCCCACCACCTGGGTTCTATAAGAAGACAGGCTGAGCAAGCCAGGGAAGCAAGCCATTAGGCACGCTTCTATGGCCTCTGCATCAGCTCCTGCCTCCAGGTTCCAGCTCTGTTTGAGTTCTTGTCCTGACTTCCTCCAATAATGGGCTCTGATCTGGAAGTATAAGCCAAATAAACCCTTTCCTCCCCAATTTGGTTATGGTCATAGTGTTTCATCTCAGCAATAAAACCCTGACTAAGACACTTTGGTTTCTGGTTTGGCCATAGAGCAGCAGCTGTGATAGAGTCATCCTTATCTCTATCTCCTACCCTAAAACTAACACAGCTCCTGTGGTTCACAGGGAACCCTAGTACTATGTGAAGAAATATATGACTAAACAGGGTGTCACTGTCCCATGGTGCAGGTCCCTATGATGGCCTGCCCAGGGGGAAGGAGGAAAGACGGTGGGCATATTTGAGGAGAGGGAATTTGAGCATACCTAGAGCCCAAGAGGTCTCTCAGGAGCTTCAAAGGTAGGGAAGCCCATTTCTCCTGAACCTGAGTTCAATCCCCACTAACAGGTAGGTACCAGCAGGTCCACAGCCAGTCTTGTAGTTCATGGTGTCTGTCCAGGATTAAGACATGTCCCTTCCAATCTCAGGTGGTGAGGCGCTAAGCCCCACTGTGACTACGTGGAGATGAGGTTCATGAGAGTACTTGGGGACAGATGGAGTCAAGTGTGGGGTTTGATCTAACACAACTACAGTCTATAGAACAGGGGGTGGGGATAAGTGTTCTGTTCCCAACATGTCAGGACACAGTAGAGGGTGTCTGCCTACAGCCAAGGAGAACGACCTCAGCAGAAATCAGTCCTGCAGGCACCTTGATCTTAGAGTTACAGATGTTGGAGCCACATCTGGAGTAGTGAGGAGGGAGGTGGAGAGGCACAGGTTACCCAGTGGTTCCCACCTCCCTCGGAGGGCCTCCTCAGCCTGCTCATTCATGCTTTGAGCAGAGTAGCCAGTTTAAGGTCACTGCTCACTAAATGACAATTCAAGAACTTCATTAGGGATCAGCACTGTCCAAAAGCCAGGGTTTCTCTCGGCAGCATGCAGGCTTATGGTAGAACCAGGCTTCCTCCAGGATATCGGTGCTTTGGCCTTGAAAACCGATTATCTTTTCAAGCCTGGTAAGTTGTGATCAGCTCGGACATGGCTCAGCATCTGGTGGCTTCGCTGGCATATGCAAAACAACATGATACCTACAAAGACTTTGATCAAAATGCTAGTGGGTAAAGTTTAGTAGGTAAAGTGCTTGCCAGGCAAATGTGGGGACCTCAGTTCAAATCCTGGTACTCGCATTAAAAAGCTGGGCGTGGTGGCACTTTTCTGTAACCTTAGCTTTTAGGAGGTAGAAGTAGGCAAATCCTGGGGTTTGCTGGGCCAACAGTCTATGAACCAGGGAGTTCTAGATTTAGCGAGAGACTGTCTCAAAAAGCAAAGGGAGAGTGACAGAGGAAGCTACTCAGTGTTGACCTCCGGCCTCTACATGTGTGTCTGTATACCTGAATGTGTGTGTATTTGCAAACACACAGAATGAAAAGAGAATTCTGAGGTTAGCTTGCTACTTTCTGAATGTCTACTGTGTGCTAAGGCAGGGGACTCATTATTCCCCAAAACATACTACCTCAGCTTCCCAAAAAGGCATACCCAGGAAGTTTGTCCATCCCTCATATGCTGCCACCCTTCATCCTTGAGGTGGACCAGCATCCCAGGAAGGATGCTCTGCCTTCTGCCACAGGGCTCTGAGACCCCCTGATGGGCTTCTTTCCTATAGGAGAAAGGGGTCTCCATGTCTCTGAAAATGCAGGGCACAGAGGAGAGTCTGAACACACATACCTTTAACAATCTCCCTCTGACCACATTCTCTCTGTTCCTCTTTCCCAGAATGGCCCACCATCTCCTCAAACCCAATATGAAAATATATAGGCCTGTTTCATTTCTTTGGAAAGATTCCTAAGTCATGGGAATCGTTAATTTTAAATATTTTATCTGATTTGTATGTGAGTGTGTGTGTGTGTGTACATGTGTGTGCATGTGCATGTGCATGTGCAGGTGCCTGCAGAGGCCAGAGGTTCTTTATTCCTCTGGAGCTGGAATACTGGGTTATTGTGAGGCAACAGACAGACACTGGTGCTGAGAACTGAACTCCAGTCCTCTGAAAAAGCAGTATGTGTCTTAGCTCCTGAGCCATCTCTCCAGCCCCCTGTCCATCTCTTACATCACACAGGGCTTCACTATGAACCCAGGATAGATACCTTCTGGTTCAACATGGCTGTCTGCTTTAGTGGGAGGGGCAGAGAGGCTCCGAGTGGTGGGAGCCAGCTGCTGATTAAAGTGGGAGGCTCCCCTGTGGAGCTACCAAGCAGCTTGGGGTAGTAATCCTCCCACTAAAACACACTGTTATACAGTGTGTTGAGTTATTAACAGACTAATCACAGGCCACTTTAAAAACATTTCAATGCTGGCTTCTCTAATGAACACCAAACCACGTGGAGACACCCATCCTAAAGGCTACACAATCCTACCTGCAAAGGCTCCCCTGAACCCCAATATGTCCCTAGAACCATTTTGCTGATCTTCTAGTGTTCAAGTAATCAGCATGCGAGAGCCTCAGCTTCAAGAAGAGCCTGCATTTGGGCCAGACACATCTGGTTAGAAGTCACTGGAGGGTCATTTCATCTCCCTGTCTTTTCTCTTTGTGGGTGTGCACTTGTGTGTTTGTGTGTTGGGGGTGAACATACACAAGTATGCACATGCCTGTGGATGTCAGAGGCTGATGTCTTCCACAATCACTCTTAGTTTCTCACTGAACCTAGAGCTTCCCAATTAAACCCTGGGGAGTCTTGTCCCCTTCCCCCCCCCCCTTAGTATTGAGCACCCAGCTTTTAACAAGGGCGCTGGGAATCAAGACTCAGGTCCTGGTGCTTTCCTGGTAAGCATTGTACTAACTGAGCCACCTCCCCAGTCTCCGTCCCTTCATTTCTCTGAACCTCAGTTTTTCCATAAAGTGAAGCAATCTAAGATACTAGCTGGAGATGCTGACCTGTTGTTAAAGCTCCTAGAAGCCCGAGTGCAGCCCGTGGGGCGCTCGCCAGCTCTCAGGGAAGGGAGTAAGGCTTGGGTGTTGTTTGTAATTATTGCAAGATCAGAGATCTGAATGTTAGACTGGTTTTGGTTTGTCCTCCTTTTCCAGAGGATCTTTCCCACAGCCTAGACTGGCCTCAAACTTGCTCCTGGCAGATAAGGCTGACCTTGAACTCCTGATCCTTCTGATTCCACCTCCAGGTGCTGGCATGGTGACTGCACGATCCCATACCTGGCTTGCTGCTTCTACTTCCAGTGAAATCTACAAAGCACACATTCTGACATGGACGTCACAGGTCTGAATCAACTGAGGAGGTACCATGAACCCTCTCAAAGTCTCAAGTTTGGAATATTTTAAAGGAAGAGCCTCTGAGTGCTTTAAAATGTGTAGGACAGCATAAAGAAAAGCTAGGAGTAAAAAAAAAAGAAAAAAAAAGAAAAGCTAGGAGTGTTTTTCTGGTAAAAATCTCACCAAAGTGACTCCATGCCGTTGCTAAGGACACACATCAGTAGCAACTGGGGGTGAGGGCACAGCTACCTTCTGTTTCTTCTCCAGTTTGATGGCTTGCTGAGTGGCCTTCTGGTCCTGTACCCATAGCAACTGTGGCTCCCACTTCCCTGTGCTACCCTGGCTTCTTCTTACAGCTTTCCCTGCTGTGGTGGTTTGTATATGCTTAGCCCAAGGAATGGCACTGTTGGGAGGTGTGGCCTTGTTGGAGTAGATGTAGTCTTGTGAATGTGGGCTTTAAGACCTTCGTCCTAGCTGCCTGGAAGCCAGTATCTACTGGCAGCCATCAGATGAAGATATTGCTTCTCCTGCACCATGCCTGCCTGGATGGTGCCAAGCTCCTGCCTTGATGATAATGGACTGAACCTCTGAACCTGTAAGACAGCCCCAATTAAATGTTGTCCTTATAAGAGTTGCCTTGGTCATGGTGTCTGTTCACAGTAGTAAAACTCTAAGACACCTGCCTAGGATGTAGGATAAAGATTCTGCTTCCTGCGACCCCAATATGAGAAGCTGTGTTACCCATGAGAAGGTTACTTGGTACTTAGTAACAAAACACTTTCCTACTGTTTTAAGAAAACATGTGCGGGACAGTGGTGGTACACGCCTTTAATCCCAGCACTTGGGAGGCAGAGGCAGGTGGATTTCTGAGTTCGAGGCCAGCCTGGTCTACAGAATGAGTTCCAGGACAGCCAAGGCTACACAGAGAAATCCTGTCTTGAAAACAAAAACAAACAAAAAAGAAAGAAAGAAAGAAAGAAAGAAAGAAAGAAAGAAAGAAAGAAAGAAAGAAAACATGTTCTTGGGCTGGAGAGATGGCTCAGCAGTTAAGAGAACTGGTTGCTCTTCCCGAGGTCCTGAGTTCAATTCCCAGCAACCACATGGTGGCTCACAACCATCTGTAATGGGATCTGATGTCCCTTTCTGGTATGCAGGTGTACATGCAGATATGCACTAAATAAATAAAACTTTAAAAAAGAAAGAAAGAAAGAAAGAAAGAAAGAAAGAAAGAAAGAAAGAAAGAAAGAAAGGAAAGAAAAGAAGGGAGGAAGGAAGGAAGGAAGGAAGAGAGAGAGAGAGAGAGAGAAAGAAAGAAAGAAAGAAAGAAAGAAAGAAAGAAAGAAAGAAAGGAAGGAAGAAAGAAAGAAAGTAAGAAAGAAAGAAAGAAAGAAAGAAAGAAAGAAAGAAAGAAAGAAAGAAAGAAAGAAAACATGTTGTTTAACACACCCCTGTAGAAACAATTTCTATCTTGTCACACCAGCCAGTGTGGGGCACACACCTGTCCAGACCGGTGGCAGTGAGGCTACTTTCTTCTGTAGCAAGTCAGGCAGAAGTTCAGGGAATAGTCTCCATATAAGAGTCAATGTGACTGGGTCCTAATCCCAGCTCAGAGGTGAAAGGGCCTGCTGATTGATGTCCAGCCACCTTTTACACAATCCAGGATCAGGTACAAGCTGAACAGAAGCATCACTGAGACTGGTCTAGATCTGAATTTCATTGCAGCAAGATGTGACTGGGCCCCTGCTCCTGCCCCAACTGCATACCCTGATGCTAACTCTTCTTTTCCTCCCTAAGCTTCAGCCCCTCAGAAGTGAGGGCACAGCTACCTTCTGTTTCTTCTCCATTTTGATGGCTTGCTGAGTGGCCTTCTGTTCCTGTACCCACAGCTGCTGGTACCGATGTTGTAACAGGTCAAAGAAGGGTGTTGACGGCCTGTGGGGAGAAGGGCACACAGAGCTTGAGGCATGGGTAAGACCAGGGCACCCACTTCCAGAACAAGACATCTCCTTCTCCATGGACCACAAGGCCTCCCCATCAGCAGAGCACTAGAAACCCCAGAGAATCAGATTCCATACACAAAGTGCTCTACAAACATGGGGAGCCTCCATGGGGTTTCTTTTGAGGGAACAAAGATTCTGTCCTTGAACTGTTGTTGGATAGGTTCATAGGTTCCTCAGAACCCTTTCAGCTATGCCTCTCATAGACCCTGGGCTCTGCCCTCAGTCTGCTGAGGCTAGCCCTGGAAAAGACTCCTGCCAAGAAGGTGTACCATCCTCAGTGTCTAACTTCACTGGGGAATGCTCAGGATCGTCCTTTACAGCCCTGGGGTCTGATTGTCCTGGCCCACCCCAGCCAGAATGCTGCCAAGTTGGATGAGCGATAAGCCACCACCCTCGGAGTCTCTTCTTATTTGAATTCTGCTCCAGCCCTGGAGAATTGACTCTACATTTGTCAGTCCCACTGGCACGGTGGGACTGACCTCAGCTTTGCACCAGGGCCCATCTCTTTCTGAAGTCACATGAGATGTCTTCACTGCTCGCAGTTTGGAAACCAGAGCCAGCGCTGAGCGCTCTGCAGGCACGATCCTTCATCATGTTAGTGATGAGGAGGAAAGGTCGTCCCAGACCAGGGTCAGGCAGCACTCTGAGTGAGACTGGTCGAGCCACAGGGCTCAAAGCTAACGTAGATCTAAGTCCTTCCAAGAAAGAAAAACAAACAAATGAACAAACAAACAAAAAAACAAAAACAAAATGCTCCTAGCATTTAGTGTGAGCTCTAAACAGATTGAAGGTCAGGTGTACAAATGGACAGAGGCCGCGTACAGAGGAGAGCGCTGCCATTCATGAGCAGGAGCTGTTCAGGAGACAGGCCTGCTGCTGGTACCAACTCGTAGCCAGGACTCCAGGTTGAGAATGAACTCTTAAACAGCTTGTAAGACAGAGTGTGCACACACATCAGACAGGAAGCCAACCTACTGCCTACAGACAGGAAGCCAACCCACTGCCTGTAGTCACAAGTCAGGAAACAACCCCACTGTGTCAAACTTGCAGAAAATAAAGCTTTACACTCTCATAACTCCAGTACTTGGGAAGTAGAGGCAGGAGAATCAAGTTCAAGTCACCAATGCGAGTTTAAAGCCTACGTGATTTCATGAATCCCTCCCTTAACTACCTACCCTCCAAGAGTTAATTTTTCAGTGTGGAGGACTGCCTGGGGTACATGCTAAGACTCTGTTCCTAAAAAATATGTGATAATAGGGGCTAGAGAGATGGTCCAGCAAGCTAGAGCACTGGATGCTCTTGCAGAGGAGCCGGGCTCTATTTCCAGCATCACATGGCAGTTTACAACTATCTGTAACTCCAATTCCAGGAGACTGGATGGCCTGACTTTTGAGGGTACCAGGCACTGACTTAGTCCATAGCCATACATGCAGGAGAAGTGCCCAAATACATAAATAAAAAATTAACTATATAATAATAATATTTAACTAGAATACTCAATAGAAGGATAGTGATGCTCACTGGTGGGAGCTAAAATGGCCAGAAGGCTAACAGGAAATTCCTGCTGGCTGAAATTCCCAGTGGATGGTCACTTCAGCATAGCCAGCCCTTACTGATATTATTTTACCACTGTGGTAACACAGCCATGGCATAAAAGAGTGTGTCTAAGCTTTGGATATTTCAATGGTAGAGTGCTTACCTAGCATGTATGAGGCCCTGGGTTCGAGCCCCAGCACCATAAAACAAATAAATGACTATTTTAACCTTGCTAGCAGTAGACTGTTCTGGAAGTCATACACTGGAAGATGTAGAGCATCTTCTGCCGCATGTGTTTGGGGAAGGTTCAGGCAACCAGCCCTCCAAACCAGTGCCATCCACATTCTCCAGCCACACGGAATGCAAGCTAGAGAGTCTCTTGGGACCACTGATACCAGGAGAGGTGACACCTAGGGTCAGACTTCTGGCTTCCACAGCTTTGAGAACCTGAGTTTGTGTTGTTCACTGTCCTCCCATCTTCTTCCCTAATCTCCCTCGCCCTTATTTGTGCCAACTTGTTAAGGAAGCTCCAGGATGCTCTGGGAAATTCTATGAGAAAGTCAGAGCCAAAAACACTACACAGTAATTTAGGGGTTCTCTCAATCCTGAGACTCATACCCCCGAGGTCCCAGGAAGCTGTGACAATCACCTCCTCTCAGCTGCATACAGACCCTTGTCTGGTCAGTCAAAGCACTAATAGTTTTCCAAAGCAGCCAGGGAGGGTGGGTATGAGGAGCAGCCCAACATGGGACCTTTCTGCCCAGACCAGAGGATGAGGAAGTAGACCCAAGAGGATAGGCAAGCCCCTTAACTGCCCAGCAAAGTCCGGATGCTGCAAACTTCCTGCCCCTGGATTTGGTTGATCTGGTCTGAATGGTAGCCCTTCAAGTCTGAAATCATTGAAAATGCTTAGAAATGCGGGTGTTTGTACGGGGTTGATGCTTGGTCTGAAATGCGCTTGTTATGCAAGCCTGAGGCCCTGACTCAAATCTCCAGAATCTATGTAAAAACAGCCCAATGTAGTGATATGCACTGGGAGTCCTAGCACTGGCGTGGGGAAGACCAGCAGATCCCTGGGGCTCAATGGGCAGATTTGGCAAGCACTAGGCCGGTGAGAGACCCTGTCTCAAAAACAAGGAAGACACCACAATTGACCTCTAACACCAACAGTTGACCCCTGACCTACACACACACACACCCCTCCCTACACACTAGCAGGACAGCAAGCTTTTCAAAACAACCATTGTGGAAGTGTGTAACTTCTGACCACATAGGCCCGAATTCGCGGCCAGTGTCCTTGGCTGGCCCTGACTCCCAGCTGCTCATTAGCCCCACTTTCCAGCTTTCAGAGACAACCAGAGTTAGCCCGGATCCTAAATATCCACCCACTCACCTCAGCCTAATGCACCTTGGCATGACAGGACCTGGGGAATTTGCTAGGCTGGATTCTATTTGAGCAGAGGTCCAAGGCTTTGATTCTCATAGACAGACAGTGGCTCTTTGTTCCTGCCTCCTGTACCCCTGTGGCGACTTTTATTACTTAATTATTACTCGCCCCATGCCTCTGAGCAACCTAATTTATAGCTGTGTTTCTAACGACACTGTGTGAGTAATCTGGAAATATCTACCCCAAGAGGCTGCTCCCAGACAACAGCCATCTTCCCAGCACCCCACTGTATCCATCACTTCACGCCAGCTCTTCAGCCCTCCCCCAGCCTGGCTGACCTACTCAGTGTCCTGCTCTGGCCAGACCAGCAATTCTTATTCTCTGGGAAGAAGCACTGGAGGCTGAGCCAAGGGGAACCTACGACACCATGAGTTATGGCAGGCAACCCTGGCCTAGGTCCTCCACGGCCACCCACAAACTGGCCAGTTTCTGCTCTGGCTCATTACTGTGGATAAACAGGTGCAGAGGCTGGCCTGGTGTGGAGAGAACTCGGGCCATAAATTGGATGTCATCACTCCTGCACCGATTCCGTTTCTGTGTTAAACCTGGACTTGAAGCTGTGGTTCCCCTGGCTCAGATCCCTCTTCAACTCCTGGCACTGACTCTGCCCTTCATGGCTTTCCTTAGACTTCCAGCCCTTTCTCCCTGGGTAGAGCTCTTCTCCTTACCAGCACACCCCCACATGCAGTCTCCCCCTCGAATGCAGTCTTAACTGTGGGGTTGCATCTTCCAAGGGTTGGTTCCCAGCTACCCTGCCCTAAACAGCCTGGCTAGGTGTTCTTCCATCTGGGCATGAGCCCACAAAGAATGTCAACCATTGAACAGCAGCCAGTGCCAGAGGGCAGAAACAGTTGTGTGCTTGCTGGGGCCTGACAGGACTCCACCCTGGACAGGGATGTGGGAGTATAGCTCTGCCAGAAACAAAGACCCAAGTTCAATCCCTTAGGACCCATTTTTTTTTTTAAAAAAAGGGACAAAAACTGGGTGTGGTGGTGCACACTTTTAATTCCAGCATTGGGGAGGTGGAGACCAGTCCAAGGCTGATGGCCAGCCAGCTGAATCAGCAGGCTCCAGGCAAGTGAGAGACCCTGTCTCAGAAGAAGGTGGATAGTACCAGAGGAGTGATGGCTGAGGCTAATCTGTCTTCCACACACAGACACACACATGTACCTGCAGACATGCACCTGCACATGAGTACACCCATGCACACATACACAGATACACAGATATACATATACACGTACATGTGTACCTGTGCCCTCATATGTGCACTGGCATACACACGCATGTGCACACACATGCACATGTGTATGCACACATATACACATACACACATATGCACACATGCACACGTACACATGAAATGGAGCAGGAAGAACCGAAGGGAGATGAGAAAAAAAAAAGGGAAAAGAAATCTTAAGGAAACCCTTAGCAGACCTTGTTTCTTCAGTTTGCACAGTACAAATTAGGCTGTGTGAGTGTTACAGTAAGTTATAGGGTTAAACTGGTGGAATTCGACTTCAGGGAGGATGGCCGCCTTCCTCACAAATGAAGTGGTACCCCATACTGAGCATCTTAGAGCAACTAACAAAACAAACCCAAGTCCTTCCACATACGTCTCTCACTTCAGGTGGATATCAGCTCAAATATAAAACAAACACTGCCAAATGCACAAGAGAAAACCTTTGCGATTTAGAGCTAGGTAAAGACTATTTATTCATTTAGGATTTTGAGACGGGGTCTCATGTAGACAGGCTATCCTTAGACTCATTCTATAGCTGAGGAAAATCTTGAATGTCTGGTTCTCTGGCCTCCATCTCTCAGGTACCCAGCATGCCAGTAAAGTCATGAGACACTCTTTGAGCAAAGCTCACACCCAGGGCCTGCTGCGTGCTGAGCAAGTATGCTCTCATAGCCCGCACTCATGAGGGAGGTGTCGTTAGGAGCTG